GCCTTGCAAGCATCACTGTGGTTACATGCTCGGACGTACCAAGTTCAATCCTATCAGTTGGGTTCTTATTCAATCTTCCCGGATTTTTCCAATCGACTACATCATTTTTGCGCTGATTGTCTTTTTGTTCTTTTGGGCCTCCGTCGTCGGCATTGTCGCGGTGGGTATTCGGTTTCTTTGGATACGAATTTTCCAAATTAGGAAAGGTCACACGTCGCCCCAGGCCATGTTGCTGGCGACAGCCATGCTAATGTTGATAACGCTGGGCTTGAATTACTCAGTTGTCATGATGCTTGCACCCCAATACGCAACATTTGGTCCGCAGACTTTCTGCGACTTAGCCCCGAGGTCTTCAGCAGAGCAGCCGGATTGCTCAAACCACAGGCATTTGGTCAAGCCATGTTCAGAGAAAGCAGAGAGCACAGCTGCAAATAAGAACTGCACATCCAGCGTCGCAAGCACCATTCTAAATCGGGTGGCGCTGAATTTTCCACTTTTCGGTGCCTTGCTCTTTTGGGCACACTTTCTTTTCCTTGGTACTTGGCAGACCTCTCTTTACAAGGCAATGTTGTTCCTGAAGCTGCAAACTTAAAAGCTAACAATTTGTGCAAAATAGGCATCTACTTAGTCATCCTCGTGGCATCTGTCGTCCGCTCTCGGAGACTCGATGAGCGCCAGCTGGATGAGGACGCCGAAGAGGCCGAGGAAGAAAGTCTGCTAGCAAGCACCAGAAGAAGTGGCAATGCTACATGAGGGGCGTTCAGCAACGCTTCCAGAGAGCCCGCTACTTTGAATAATGAAGGATTATCACGAAAGAAAATCTCTTGATTCAAGAGGTGATGGCAGGAGAAACACGGCAAAAGCAAAGGTCCTCGGCCGGATACGGAATTTCATGAGATTCTGATCTTTCGCCAAAGGATTATAGCCTGATATCACGTGATTTATGGTATAACCTCTCAGTTTCCTTATTATTATGCTCCCCTTGGTGACAGTCGCAGTTTGCCAAATGTAGTCGTCGAGCCCTTGTATGATAACTTTCAAGAGGGCAGGTCTGAGCTTCAAGGAAGCCTCTCCGGACGTATCTTTCAACTTGATATACCTAAGACTTTGGGCGATTGTTCAGCAGAGTGAGAGCATTTTCAAAAGCCTTCACAACGTCGGCATCTGATGGATATGTTAGCAGGGCTTTGCTGGCGGCATCCGTTGCAGTCTCGTACAATGTTTTCTCCTATTCTCTAAATCTTCTTCGGAGGTCTGCACATGCTGCGACTGGGTCTTAAATCTAGACACCGGTCAGCCATGTCATGAATTGTCGGCTAGCTGAATGGGTACAGGCTGAAACCTTTTCAGCGCTCTGCTTTCATCACGAAGAACAGCAGACTGTGACCAGGCCGTGAAAATCTAGAGCAGCAATGTCAGAGAGATGCGCCATGGCTTAGAAAGGTACAAGGTACCTCAAGCAGTCTTAAAGATCGAGTTCGCAACTCTTCCTCGGCATCCCCATGTTGTTCCATAATATCTGAGTATAGTTGTTGAAGTTTTGCCCAGTGGCAATGCGATAAGTCTTCTGCCAACTGCCCTCTGGCTTGTGGAACGTTATGTTGCTCATCTAAACTTTCCTGCTGATCCGGTCCAGACCCATGATTGCCGTAGTCAATAGATGTTTTGACGTGGGTTCCACCCATTGAATCCATCTTTACATGCAGTGCCTTATCACGAAACTTCTTCTCGAACGTTGTATAACTAGAACGAGAAATAGAAGGTCAAAATACAAATGAATGATTGCTTGCTCGCAGGATCTAGATTTCACACAGCTCAGTTTATCATGATGTCACTCCTGCCTCGCTGGCAACGTGCTTCAGCATTTAATGGTTCGCGTGAATCACCAGTTCTGAGCTCTGGTGAGGTAGCAGAATGCGTTGCTGCCTGAGGCATAGAGTGCGAAGGGTCATCATGTGACGTCAACCTTCGAGGACGTACCGCATCTCCAACTTGGCCTCCTACAAGAGCATTTGACTGCAGAGAGTCATGAAGCATCATTTTCTCGACTCTATATACACTCTTGACGCCTATGAGCTGCATAGCAGGCATATTGGAGATTCATAGGCAGACAGGAGGGCGCGAGAATGTGAGCTTTCTGGCACTATAGCAAAACACAGTACGTTTGGAGATGAATTGTCCAATATGCTCTCGAGTCTCAACCTCTCGCCTACGCTTTTATTGTCCCACCTGTGTCTATAACCAACTATACACACTACGTATCGGTATTGCCAGCGTTCTCCTGGAGAAGGAAGCCTTAGGACGGCAGCTCGAGAAAGCACTACTGCATCAGAGATCTCATACTCTCTCCCATCTTCGCTCTGAAGAATGCTCAACTCAACTGCCGAATAAGGTGTCCAACCCTCAAGAGGTCTTGCAAATCATAAACGCAAAAGCCGAGTCGTCTATCAGGAGGAAAGAGCTTGCCCTTCAGATCCAGCAACTGAAATCCGAGATTAAAGACAGGCAACTTGGCATTTCTCAACGGAGGTTGACATTAGCACGACGACGTTCAGATGCTGAGTCTGCAAAGTTTCAGCTTGAAAGCCGCGAGATAGCTCTGCTATGTGGTGTCCAGAATACCATCAAAAGGACGGAGCATCTCTGGCATTCCTTGCACAGCAAGACAGCTGAGGCTCGGATCTTTCTTTGCCGGGAGGTTGCGAATCTATACAGCCTAAGACAGTGGATAAAGAAGGATGGCAGTGAACTGAAAGAGACATACGTAATTGGTGGTGTTCCTATCATAGATCTCCGAGACCTGAATGGGAAGTCGCAAACCCGCCCCTTTTCCTGGATATGCCAACACGAAGTATTAATACGCAAATAGGTGCCACTTCAGTTCAAATATCAACATCATTTTCTAATATTGCTCATCTTCTAGTCCTCATTTCACATTACTTATCTTTGAGACTTCCCGCAGAGATCACACTTCCTCATAGAGACCATCCTGTCCCCACGATTCATGCACCTATTGGGTCGTATACTTCACTGGAGTCGCTCTGGACAGCCACTCCAACGCACCCACATACCCCCACCTCATCGACACCACACCCATTAGGCTTGCAGTCTAATCATCATCAACCTCGGCCCCTCACTATCGATAGAAATTTACCAAAGCTCGCTAGGGAAGACCCAGGGTCATACGCCCTTTTCCTAGAAGGAGTTACATTGTTAGCCTGGAATATCTCCTGGTTATGTCGTACGCAAGGACTCAATATTACATCGAACTCTTGGGAAGAGATCTGCAATATTGGGAAGAACATGTGGCAGCTACTTGTTGCTCCTCCTGTGGAAGCGGCAACTCTGATGAGAGCATTTGCTGGTCGAGACACACAGCCCATGAAGCTCTTAAGAGACTCTCCTAGAACTTCTATTCAAAGGACCATATCGTTCCCCGTGATGGGGCATTACTCACATGGCACCGTGCATTCATTCCTGGGGGCTTCAGAAGGTACGGAGTTCGTTAGGACGTGGAGACTTCCGATCCCGCTCAAGGTTGTCGACAAATTGAAATCAATGCTCCTGGGTGAGATGGCGAGCGCGGAATGGGAAGTTCTCGAGGAGAAAGAGTGGAACGATAGTGAACAAAGTTCGACGAGAGCGTCTGTCCAAGGGTTGCCGACTAAGTCGAGGTCACAGCCTGGAGACGGCATAACGCCGGACAACAATTATGTCGGTCATGTGGCATCAGCAAGTGGTGTTCCTAACGAATTAGATAGCACCAGCCGTCCGCGGGGAAGTAGTGGCTGGACCAAATTGAGAAATCGGTAACTTGTTGGTTACTGTATTTGCGCAATCATTACTCACTTAACGAGCTGCACTCAATCATAGCAGAATGAGGAAAGTCTTGTATAGAAAGAAAACCTTGAATGAATGCAATTTTCGTCGATGCGGTAGGATTCAGGCCCTCAATCTTGTTCGATAATATAGTTCTAAATGCAGACAGACTGGGGTGCTAATGAATGAATGCCTTTTCAACGCAAATGAGAAGAGAATAAAAACAAGGTAAACAAGAGCTAATGATAAGTGAGTCTGTGACAGACTTGAAGATCTAGTGATTGATAAGATAACACGCCCGCCCGGATTATCCTTTCACCTTTCAATAATCCGTGCCGCCTACTCTACTCCATACAAAGACAGGTAAGTCTTGCTCCGTTCGCTTCTGGTTTGTCAACCCCTATCTGATTTATTGATTTGATAATGAACCTTGTTCTTTAGCACACTCTTCCTGCTCTCTAGTGTTGCCGCTCAAGATTGGCAATCAAATACAGACTTCCGGCTGTCAAAATAGTGACAGTGTCAAACTTACCCTGTTCGGGTCATGGCATTGATCAAACCTTAAGAAAGGCTCGGATCAAGATGGGCCAGCTTACCCAATGGCTACAATCTGAGATGGCAGCATCTGGTAAGTGTTCCAGCACTCATATCACCTATAGAGCTCATTTGGGTCAATAATGATGCACTTGTAGCCGCAACTTTGGTGTGGTAATGATTTTCTCAACTAATACTTCACCTTTGTTGCAGCCCTCAATCGCAGTATCCCTCTAGTCTCAGACTTACCTGATTCTGTTCTCCGGGCAGAGCTTATTCGAAGGAGTGAAATTCGGGGCTCGACCAGCGATCGAGTAGCTTGTGGTTCGAAGGAAAAAGGCGCTTACAACACCCAAATACATGTGATGGCATTGTTCCTCATTCTGGTTTTGAGCACATTAGGTATTGTTTACATCTCGCGACAATCGGTATTGTCTCAATCTGCTGATCATACACTAGCATGTTCATTTCCAGTTCTCGCCCGCCGATTTCCACGCCTACCGATACCGCGCCACTTTCTTTTCATCTCCAGGCATTTTGGAACGGGGGTCTTAATTGCCACAGCTTTCGTTCACTTGTTACCCACAGCATTTGTCTCTCTTACGGATCCTTGTCTTCCTCGTTTTTGGTCTGAGACCTATCGTGCAATGGCCGGATTTGTAGCCATGATATCGGTTTTTGTGGTTGTCGTTGTAGAGATGTTCTTCGCTATGAAAGGTGCTGGTCATGTTCATGGAAGCGAGTATGATCATCTAATTGGCAGCGTTAGGCGGGGGTCTAGCGAGTCTATTCGTGATGACGCAAATTATATGAGGCTTGGCCCTCATCACTCGACAGAGAACCTGCGCCTTGATCTCATCCAATCGAACAGTCACCCGGATGGAGCGCAGCGGTACTCCAGTTCATTGTCCCGGATATCAACAGATGGTGCCAAACAAGGACGGTCGAAGAAAATGAATCCACACAGTGAAGGCGATGATACTGGCTTTGGAGACATCGATTCTCTGGACAATCACAGTGATTCTCAAGTCTTTGACTCTCATTCCCGCTGTTTGCCATCCCAACCACGCGATTCACATCATAAGCCGAATCCTGAGTTACCAATGCAGAGTCCGCAGCGCCAGTTGCTGCAATGTCTTCTCCTCGAGGCTGGTATCCTTTTCCACAGTATCTTTATCGGCATGGCCCTCAGTGTCGCCACTGGGACGTCATTTATTGTCCTTCTTGTGGCCATCTGCTTTCATCAAACTTTCGAAGGTTTCGCCCTCGGGTCGCGTATTGCATCCTTGATACCAGACCTTTTTTCACCGTCGTCACCGAAGCCATGGCTTATGTCGCTTGCTTACGGAACAACAACTCCCGTTGGACAAGCTATCGGCCTAGTTTTGCACAATCTCTATGACCCTGCGAGCACCACGGGTCTGCTCATGGTTGGCATCACCAATGCAATTAGCAGCGGGTTATTGCTTTTCGCAGGACTTGTGGAACTTCTAGCGGAGGACTTTCTAAGTGAGTCTAGTTATGCGACACTCAGGGGTCGCCGGCGTATTGAGGCCTGTATAGCCGTCGCGAGCGGGGCTTTGCTGATGGCGTTCGTTGGTGCCTTTGCCTAGATTCCAGTCAGAATCTGTCTTATATCCCTTTTTGTAGATACTGATTGTTATAGAATGCGTACAGCTGCTAGCCGGCATGTCTGATACGTCAGACAGACAAGGTTAGCTTTTACATTTTCGTATGACTGTATCTAGCCTATGTAAAAGTGTAAAGGCTCGAGTCAGATGCTCTCTAAACATGAGTACAGACGTCAGAACCAATGGCTTCGTGTGAATAGTTGGAGATTTTCATCATGCTAGTTTTCGTCAAGGAGCTCATATTGGGTAAAGTACCCATGGTGTGACCATGGTCTTCTCAATCTCTGGTTGTGTACCCTTGACACGATCAATATACTCAAGGATCACAAGTTGATCAAACTCAGTCCGCCCAAAGATACTCTAATCTCAGGTATTGACATCACGACTGTTCTAGTAGACATTTCTAGTCATTTCTTGGAATAAACATGGCATATGTATACTCCAGTACAGAAAATAGTGACTTTGAGGTTGATCCTTCGTGACCCAAGGGATATCAACACTTTCAGGTAAACAATCATAAGACTGCAGATCATATACACGCTATGATATATTCAGTCCACACATGTGGACATGGTCAAAAGCCATCTAAAGTAGCTCGACCACCAGAGCACTGGCTCCACCGCCACCGTTACAGATGCCAGCACAGCCAATTTTGCCCTTCTTGGCCTTCAAGACACCGAGCAAGGTGGTTAGAATACGCGCACCACTAGCACCGATAGGGTGACCGATAGCGACTGCTCCACCATGAAGGTTAACCTTTTCCTCGGAAATGCCAAGTAACTTCATATTGGCGAGAGCAACAACGCTGAAAGCCTCATTGATCTCGAAAGCATCAATGGCATCCTGACTCACACCTGCGTGTTTGAGCGCTTTTGGAATTGCAAGAGCTGGAGCAGTCGTGAATTTGCTGGGTTGTTGAGCAGCATCTCCCCATCCAAGGATCTTTGCAACGGGTTTCAAATTGAGCTCCTTCAACTTAGCCTCTGAAACAAGGACGACGGCAGCAGCGCCGTCGTTGAGAGGAGAGGAGTTGGGCGCCGTCACTGTTCCAGAACCAGGTATAAACGCAGGCTTGATGGCTCGAAGTTTCTCCGGGTTGAGCTAAGAATTCAAAGTTCAGTCTGACAAGAACCACTAGAATGCAAGCAACGCGTCAGATGGGGGCGCTCACATTCTTCGGTTCTTCATCTTGTGTTACAGTCACACCTGGTTTTCCCCTAAATCCAGGAAGCTGGATAGGGGCAATCTCTTCGTCGAAGAGGCCGGCCTTCTGGGCCGCCTGAGCTTTTTCGTATGTGCGGATAGCATAATCATCTTGTTGTTCCCTGCTAAAACCATGATCTTGAGCACACTCCTCCGCTTGTAATCCCATGAGTTCCTGCTTGCCCGCGTCAGTCAAGCCATCCTTCATGATGCCATCCACCAGACTCTGATGGCCGTATTTAGCACCAGTACGCAGATTTGGAAGATAGTGCGGTGCGTTCGACATCGATTCCGTGCCGCCAGCCACAACGACATCAGCGTTTCCGGTCATGATAGTCTGGGCACCGAGTATGATCGCCTTCAAACCGGACGCGCAAACCTTGTTGACGGTGGTGCAAACGGTCGAATCTTCAAGCCCAGCACCAAGCGCGCATTGCCTAGCAGGATTCTGTCCCACACTTTAAAAAGTTATCAACATGCTCTTTTGGTAAATTCAGAAGGCTCACACAAGGCTCAGCTCACTTTGCAGAAATGACGTTACCGAAGAAGACCTCCTGAACGTCCGAAGGCTTAAGTCCGTCAACTTTGGCAAGAGCAGCTGTATTCTACCATCAGAAAAATTGGGCCCATAAGGCGAACTTTTTTTTTTTTGGGAAGACGCTATAGAATTATAACTTACCCTTGATGGCATGGGAACCAAGCTGTGGGGCAGTCAAGCTTGAGAGCGAACTATGCAGATGAGACAAGGTCAACCTCATTCTTCAAGTACAACGAACCACGAAATATGTCCTACCCCAAGAAAGACCCCACGGGAGTTCGGGCAGAAGAAACAATATAGACAGCTGGAAGCGAAGACATATTCCTTTGTTATTCAGACTTTCCAAGTAGCGAGAGAGTTCGATCCAAGCTTTGAAGAGGGCACCGCGACAGTAACGATTCGCTTGGTGTCAGCCTTGGTGTCTTTTCTCTGAAAATCTAGACCAATTTATAGAGGATCTTTTCAAACGATGCCAGACGAAGAATTCGGCGATACCACGGTGGGGGTTGTAGGAAAATATAAGCAGAGGTCAACCTCCCTTTTGATCAAAGCGGGGGCGGATGAAAAGGGCCAAGCCCGGGCCACATCGGTGAGTCCCCAATTCGGACCTTCCGAAGTTGAGACAGCCTTTTTGGTTTGAGCAAAGAAAGCATCCGCTCCAACATCTGGGGCCAGTTCTGTTCAGCTTCAGAATTTCTTCGCGCAATGGATGATCTTTATGATGAGTATGCCATATGAAAATAAAACTTTGTATAAATGGAACTCAACTAACCTAGCTCTAGGTTCGGCAATTACATTGGAGAGCCTGCGGACTCTGACGAGGAAAACCAAGATGAAGAGCTCAACCCACAGGCATTTGCTTTCGACGAAGCATTTGGTGAGGAAGAAGACGAAAACCAGAATGCGGATCAATTGATGGAGGTTGACGGTGTGTTATATTTTTCGAAGCAATACTACCTTACTCGTTCTGACTTCGTATGCAGATGTCCATTCGAATGCGGTCGTCCTACATGAGGATAAACAATATTATCCTAGTGCACAGCAAGTCTACGGTGCCGAGGTTGAAACTTTGGTCCAAGAGGAGGATTCGCAGCCACTTTCGCAACCCATAATTGCTCCCGTTCAACAGAAGAAGTTTTCGATCGAGGAGGCCGAGCTGCCACCCGTTCATTTCTCGCGAGAGTTTATGACAGACTTGCTCAGTTTTCCAAATCAGATCAGGAACATCGCACTTGTTGGCCATCTTCATCATGGGAAAACGGCTTTTATGGACATGCTTGTGAAGCAGACGCATGATTTGACAGAGCGTCTGGAGAAGCGAGTAGGCAAGCGGAAGGAGGAACAGCTCCGCTATACCGATATTCACTTCTTAGAGCGGGAGCGGGGTCTCTCTATAAAGTCGGCACCTATGACTTTAGTACTTCAAAACACCAAAGGAAAATCTCATCTTTTCAATATTATTGACACTCCCGGACATGTGAACTTCGTGGACGAGGTGGCCACATCGTCTCGGCTCGTCGATGGGATTGTGCTGGTTGTGGATGCCGTCGAAGGCGTGCAAGCGAATACGGAACAGATCATTAAGCACGCCGTGCTAGAAGGTCTTCCTATAACAATGGTCGTGAACAAGATGGACAGGCTGATCTTGGAGTTGAAAATCCCGCCGAATGACGCTTACTTTAAGTTAAAACACGTGGTCGAAGAGGTAAACACTATCATCGAGAAGATTCTGCCCGGACAAGGGGAAAGGTACCGGCTGAGCCCTGAAAAGGGCAATGTTGCCTTTGCATGTGCCTCTATGGAGTGGTGTTTTACCCTACAATCCTTTGCCAAAATGTATGCCGAAACTTATCCCCAAGTCGAAACGTCTGATTTCGCTTTGCGTCTCTGGGGAGATATTTTCTTCAACCCAGGAAGCCGAAAGTTCACTCGGAAAGGAGTGGAAGAGAATTCCAAACGGACCTTTGTTCAATTCGTTTTGGAGCCTATTTATAAACTCTACTCTCACACCATTAGTGAAAGTCCAGATGACCTGAAAGAAACGCTTGCGAGTGTGGGTATCAACTTGAAACCGTCGCAGCTCAAGTCAGATGCAAGGGTGCTACTCAACATGGTTTGCCAGGAGTTCTTTGGTCCTGCGACTGGCTTTGTGGAAATGATTGTACAGCATATTCCCTCCCCAGTAGAGGGAGCCCAAAGAACTCTCGACAGGTACTATACTGGCCCCCTTGATACGAAAGTTGCAGCCGCTATGGCAGCCTGCGACTCAGACGGGCCCCTTGTTGTCCATGTCACAAAGCTCTTTACCAGCACAGATGCCTCCAAGTTTCATGCATTTGGGAGAATCATGAGCGGGACGGCGCGCCCTGGTCAGCAGGTCCGAGTATTGGGCGAGGGCTACACCCCTGAGGATGAGGAAGACATGGTCACAGCGACTATATCGGATACATGGATTGCAGAGACCTGCTATAGCATCCCGACCAGTGGTGTTCCTGCGGGAAACTTGGTTCTGTTGGGTGGTGTGGACAATTCCATCGTTAAGACTGCAACCATTGTTCCCTTGAAGTTGGAAGATGACGAGGAAGCATACATCTTCAGACCTATTCGACACATGACAGAGTCTGTCTTCAAGGTTGCTGTCGAGCCGGTTAACCCATCAGAACTTCCCAAAATGCTCGACGGGTTGCGCAAGATCAATAAAAGCTACCCTCTCATCTCAACGAAAGTAGAAGAGTCCGGCGAGCATGTGGTCCTGGGAACTGGGGAACTTTACATGGATTGCGTACTCCACGATCTTCGAAGACTTTATTCGGAGATGGAGATCAAGGTGTCCGACCCTGTCACCCGTTTCTGCGAGACTGTTGTTGAGACTTCAGCTATCATGTGCTATTCTATCACGCCAAATAAGAAAAATAAGATTACCATGATTGCAGAGCCTTTGGATGATGGGATTGCCGAAGACATCGAGAGCGGCAAAGTCAGTATCAAAGATCCAATCCGCAAAGTAGCGAGGTTCTTTGAAGACAAATACGATTGGGACAAGCTCGCAGCTAGAAGTATCTGGGCTTTCGGCCCTGACGAGATGGGTCCTAATATTCTACAAGACGACACGCTACCATCGCAAGTGGACAAGAAGCTACTTGGAAGTGTCAGGGATTCTATCACACAAGGTTTCAGCTGGGGCACAAGGGAAGGCCCTCTTTGCGAGGAACGTAAGTCTTGTCCGTTCTTTTTGTTTACTCGGCCCATTTGTCTTTCTCTTTTCCCCCCTTCCAACTTCCTCTTCGCGCCTCTCGAAATTGGTGGTTCCTCTTTCTTTCGAGGCATTTTCTATATTTTCAAATTATGACCATAAATGGAGACTAATTTGCAGGCAGCAATACGAAACGCGAAGTTCAGGCTCACGGATGTATCTCTTGCTGACCAGGCCATTTACAGGGGAGGTGGCCAGATAATCCCTACCGCTCGGCGTGCCGTTTACTCCTCCTTCCTCATGGCATCACCTCGCTTGATGGAACCCATATATTCTTGCACCATGACTGGGCCTGCGGATGCTGTGGCTTCGGTATATACAGTGCTCTCACGCAGAAGGGGTCATGTTCTGTCAGACGGGCCAATTGCTGGAACACCGCTCTACACGGTGCAAGGCTTGATTCCGGTTATTGACTCTTTCGGGTTCGAAACGGACCTCAGAATTCATACTCAAGGTCAAGCTGCGGTCAGTCTTGTCTTCGATCGATGGAGTGTCGTCCCAGGCGATCCGCTGGACCGCGAAGTCAAGACAAAGCCTCTCGAGATGGCACCCGCGATGGCCACAGCGAGGGATTTTGTATTGAAGACAAGAAGACGAAAGGGTTTGGCAGAAGATGTGACCGTGAGTAAATTTCTGGAACCAGAGCTCTGGAAAGGCCTGAAGGAAAGTGGCGTTTTGGATTCGTGACGGGCTCGTTCCCTGCTCAGATGAGAAGGGCATACCACCAGTATCGACCTATTATGTAGATGTAATGTCGAAAATTTGAAGCAACATATTGTTGAGTCACCAAATAGGCCTTCGAATGCCACAATCTGGCGGCAGTGCGTTTGAAATTGAGAACTGGTCAGGCAGCTGACTTTCGGTTACTGGCATGTTTCCAGCATCTTAGCGATAACGCCCATTAATGTTCCGTTTTCGAGAGCAGCTGCCACTCTTTCCTTATCAGCCAGTTGCTTGTTAACCTCATCGGCGGTACTATGTGTTCCTTCCTTGATCCGCACGTCCACACGGAACCGGGGCGGAAGTGACTGCTCAAGCCGAACACGTACACCGAGACCAATCACGGTAGCAAGGCTACAGTGTGTGATTGTCGGGGTTATGAGAACCGTGACAGTGCGAAGAGGGGATCCGGGCACATGGGGAAGAGATGGCTTGATCATAATATCTGCGAGTGAGACAACAGCTAGAGATCCCAGCGAAATTGGATGTTCTGGGTCAGAGATGGTTGAGACGAGGTCTAACAAATGGTTAGACATACATTCATGACTTAGTTCTTCTTTCGAGTGCAGCCACGACGGGACCAAACGAAAAAGAAACTATTCACTCCTTACCAAAAATTTCTTGTTCGTCTATTGGTTCATCTGACATGTCATTATCATCTTCAGAGTCTGAGTTTGAAATCAGGGAGAGGGTATCGCCCGACTCCCCGAGCGACTGAAGAGTGAAACTGAAAACGCCAGTTCCATAAGCACAGAGCTTCTGCGGCGCCTTGGGCAACCGAGTTGGCAGATCAGCGGCATTCAGGATTATCGGATTCGAGTTCTGCATTTCGGAGGCCATTTTGTATTGACAAGCCTGAGAGTCTGCGGTTCCGTTGGGTTGAGAGAGTATGCTGAACCGTCAGCATTTCAGAGGAGTGAGGGGCATATTTAGTCTAGGCATGCTTCCACCAAAGGCTAAGTAAGCGCCAAGTTCTACCCCGCCAAGCTCACACACAGCTTTATGGACGGGTCCTCTAGTTGGATAGATAGAGGCTGCGAGGCTGTGTCTACCACTACGGAGTACTAGTCTACTAGCGACACTGGAACCCTAGTTTGAATCAGAATCGTGAGATCAATGAATTACCTTAGTGAACTCTTCGCAAGGATATACTGTATAGTTACTCTGAATCTTGGTGGTAGTGTGCGAAAAGACAAGACAATAGGTACATGAGGTATCCCGACGAGTGTATATTATTGGGTCAGGTTCTAGAGGATGCTGAATCCATTAAAGAGCGCCCTGTAGATGCTTCTCTAATGGGATATTACTGTTGAAATCCTTCTTCCACATACCTACACCTACATGACGGCTAGATAGCCTTTGCTTCGAGAGGATAATCTCGATGTAGATATCCTTAGACTCTCCCGATCACCCGGGCATGGCCCAGGGATGCCTCGATTAGCTTACCTAGAGAGAAACAAGAGTACCTAAGGAATCAAGGCACAGTATCCGTACCTGAGCTTATCAAAGCAGTACGGATTTCAAGGTGCCTAGTACCCAACTTAGGTACTACCACTAAGGTACCTTAGAGTATCTAGGTAATCTTAGAAGAATTGGTGTAAAATTTGCATTACAGAGTATGCTTGTACGTACTCAGATCTACATCTATTATTACCTTCGAGGTAGCAGAATATTCAGCATTGCCCCTCAGTGTTTCTTGGGGAGAATCAAATGATCAAATCACTCAACCTAAGCTCTTTTCCGCCCGCCCACATCTCTACTGCACCCGCCACTCTCAGACCACGGATGATCATCTGACCAATTTTTACTAGTAGTATCTATCTACGGTAGTAGTATCTACCTAGATATCTACCCTCCTGAGTTCTGACTCTGGGACTTGGTTCGTATGCCGCACCCCGCAGAACATCGATATCCCCAGGAATATCTACTGTGAGTTGCCAAGAGTCAATAGCTCAAAGTCAAACGCAGGCAATCAGCAGAGTTGTCCTTTCATCATCTAGATAATACTCAGAGTACACTGGAGATCATCAATGTCTCCATGTGGAAATTCGCATTGTCACTGATCCCCTGATCCTCTCATATACTTGAAATATACTCGAGTCTTCAACCCCTTGCGGCTTTTGTATTTCTTGGCTGCCTGGCTACAGTGATTAGCCGTTGATCCCGCCCTCGGTCTTTGCTGATTTGAAACCTGTCCGCTTGGAAGAGCATCTTCAATTGGATGTGATGTCTAAGTCCAGCTCGTGCACCTCCTCGTCATCTATTATCAGGGAATTTTGATGATACGCTGATGGTTTTAGACAACAATGCAAGCTGAGTAGGTTCATGCCATCGTGTCCCTGCTCTGTCTTTTATTGAATGGTCTGACTTCCTACATCTCCTCTCTATTCACCTTCAACGACTATCAGCTATTTAGTTAGTCGCCACAAGGTTCCTGCCCAGTTCATCGGAGTATCCTGTCATATGCCTGCGCCATCGAAGTCCTACGAGCCTTGAACTATTCCTTGACCTTTTTTTTTTTTTTTTTTTTTATGTGCAAGGCATTGTTTTGCTTCGTCAGTTGAATTCAAGCTTGCAACTGCGATCTTGCGTCTTTGCTCTTTCGCCTTTCTCAAATTTCTTCCAGTTGGACAGTGACTAATGACAAATTGAGGGCACCTGCAGTGCAAATCTCAGCTACTGTTATACCATCCTCTACCACGTCGGCGCCTTCATGTCCGCAGATATTTTCTCAAGCTCTGATGGTATCCTGTACCAGATAAGGAGAAAGAAGTTTCATCATTTCTTCGGACCTTGCAACGCGTCCCGCAATCTCCAGAAATAGCGGATCAATCGCCTGGCTTAATTGTTGAGAAGCCGTCATCTCCGGACACTCACTGACAACCCACCGACCATTGTCCCTATATAATTGCGGCGAATTCGCAGCTTCCACTATATCGATACAGGCTTTTGGATAGACCGAAAAGAGATTATCCTACGGTCCCCGGCCAGATGGTCAATGATCCTGATCGTGAGTCTGTTTCATCCGGGTCAAACCCCTCAGTTTATTCTCCTTCTGACGTGGTCTCGCAGTGCACTAGTCGGCTCCTGGCTATATCAGTTCCCTCGTTCTACATGCGATATACATGGTCTAAGCAGTTTGCATCGAATGTGATTGTGGAACTTCATAACACTAGTCATACCCCTCTCTTTGCTACAGTCTCACCTGCCGAAGCTGGGCCTTTGGTGATTTCGTTATCTGTTGCTGATTGATCCAGGCAAGGCGGGTTCTTGCGGATAAATTTTCAAACAACAGTCTTACAACTTGATCACGAGGCATAAACCCTGTGACTACTGGACTGAGTTGCTTTAACCTTTGCGGCTTAATTCTCTTATTGGTCCACATAAAACAAGCATCACAATGCAAGGCTACCCTTTCGCGCCTTCAAATGGCCCCCCCAGAGAGGGGCACAAGAGTAAGTCGCCCTTTGGAAGATCTTCTTGTCAATCAGGTGAATAACATGCTCACAATGTAGACTATGTATTTGTTGATGAACATAATAGGCACAAGCGGCTGAAAGGTTTGTCCTACTATCTTTCCTTCTTCTCTTCTCTTTTTCCGTACTCTCTTTTTCCCTCACGTCCCAACCTTAATTCTGATCTATAAGGCTGAGCATCGTTTGGTCTGGTTGTTGACTTATGCGTTGCTAGTAATGCGAGCCTGCAATGGCTGCAGAAAACGGAAAATAAAGTGTGACGCCGCGACAACAAATACCTGGCCTTGCTCAGCTTGTACTCGGTTGAAACTCGTATGCGTTCCTCCTACCATTGGACAGGATAGCGACTTCCCGTCGGAGCAAGGTCTTGAAGCAACTTTGATGGGCTCCTTAGGTGCTTCACATGCGACTTCAGCTCCGCATTATTCCTATACAATGCCTCAGAGCTTCGGCGCTGGAATCCAGCCTACTGCTGGAAATGCTCAATCCTATAGCGATGGTGCCGGAATCATGTCTCAATATATCTCAACTGGTCCTACCCAACACAATATTTATCAAGTACGGTCATCGCATTTACCCGTAACAAGCCATTCCTACCAGCATGCCCAAGTATTTCCTACCACTCCAAATCACGGCCTTGATAATTCGAATACTGGCATTTTCTCAGACGACGAGCAATCTACTGCCGAGAACCTTAGCGAGGTTCTGGGTGAATTGAAGATTGACGAAACTGGTATCGGTAAGATCGATAGCGTCAGTCCGTTGGCGTCCAAAGTACAATGCTGATATTACAAACCAAGCACCCTATATTCGGCAACAACGAAAAGAGCGATTGGAAGCAGAAGCTCCAGTTCAGGATGAAGTCGAGGAAAGACTGCCACCTTTGAGCACCGGGGCGGGCTCCACCATCCGTATCCCCCCGGAGCTCATGCCCTCCGATGATGATGTGATGAATTACTTCAAAATTTACTTTAACGATATACATCCTTACGTCCCCGTCGTTCATCGATCTCACCTTTACTACCAATGGCAGAATGAGCGGAGTTCCATATCTCCTCTACTCCTTGAAGCACTTTTCGCTTGTGCCGGCAGGTTATCAGACGATCCGGCTCAGGGCGCACAGTGGCTCGCATTGGCAAACAGTAAGTTAGTCACTTTGTATGCGTTGCTTGGAACACAAACAGCCAATAACCAATACTCATACAATGATAGGACATGAGTCCAGTTTCATGGATGTACCACGCCTAAGCACGATTCAAGCGTTGCTTTTGCTATTGAAAGCTCGAGAGTCTCTGCCAAAAAAGGGTTATTATTATCGTTCATGGCAGACTGTGAAGACGATTGTCTCGATGTCGAAGGATTTAGACATCCATGAACATTACAATGCTCACGCGCAGGGCAGATCTTGTGAGATGGATTCAGTGGAATGTCTTGTGCAGACAAGAGTATGGCAAGCCCTCTTGGTTGTCGAAGTGATGATCGGTGCACCACAAGGTATGTCTATATCAGCTAACGTGACTTGATTGGCTTTGACTGATCTCGTTAGGTCGATCGGATTACGGGGTAGATCCAGAGACCGTAGATATGCGACCAACTCTAGACATCAAGGGCCTTGACCAGTTCGAAATCGACCGCTCGAGGCAATATGCATACTTTGTCAGAAACGCGTATCACATCCGTTTGATCACCGATATATATCACAAAATCAAAAAGCAGAAAGACTGGGGAGCCAACCCTAGATTTGTTGAAAAAAATCCACTTTTTACCGATTGGCTCCAAAGCCTCCCTCAAGACTTACAGATTAATTATCCTAGCGATGGTTCGCCGCCATGGATACCCTCACATTTCGTGGGAAATATGCACTCGCATTGCCATCTCGGCATCATATTATTACATCGACCACAGTTGTTAGCATCCAAGTCTTTTGCGGCCGGCGGAGGATGGAAGATTCACATGGCATTGTGCTATTCCTCTGCCAAAAGCCTGTGTAGGCTTCAGGAAGGTATCTTAGACCGGTTCGGCCTTCCCGGTCTTCTGTTCATGCAGAGAGGCATCAATTTCGCAATTTACTGCATTCTGACATGCACTATGCTGCATCTGGTAAGTGTAACATGAGATGCTACCTGGTACTGCGTTAACTCACTTTCAAAGATTGCTATCACATCGCCTGATCCTCAGTTTCATACGGATGCGAGGGACTACTTCACGCGACACATGCGTATACTTGAGAAATGTTCATCGGCTTGGCCTATGCCCGAAATACAGGCACAGATTGACTCCCTGCGGCTCGCGTTCTCCGCTGACATCAATCGCCCTTTCGAACTCAAACCTACGTTTCCTTATGGAAGTCCCTCAGAACCATACCATCCCAGCCCACCACTTGGGTCAGATTACCATGCTCAATTGGATCAAGTTCCAAGTAATGTGCAAAATAGAGTGTGTTATGCTTACCCAATGACCCCTCCAATATCGGCTGGTACTGAGGACTCAAAGTCTGACTCATGTCAGCTTCAACCTTTGGGACTGCTTGCACCACATACACATCACAGTCATCCTGTAGATGCTCCGTTAGTTGACGAAAATAACTGGGATCCCACTCGAATCATAAAGTATGTACTTCCCTGGCTGTTCCATTGTTTAAGAGTAGTTTGCTGACATCTTGTTCAGCCAGTGGGACATGGCGTTCCCTGTCGGCCCGTCGAACGTGAGTACAAACTCGCCGCCGATAGGCATAGATCATTCTACACAAGGGATTCCTGGTGTATCGAACCAGTTTCCTGTTCATTATGAGACACATACAAAGGTCTCTTCGATCGCAGCTTCCCAACCGCTTCCTCAAACTCAGTTCAATGGACATCCAGTCCTGATCACGGCTCGTGACTGGCAACACAGTGTTGCTAGTGTATTTGATCCTAATGGCTTGAAGCGGAGGTGGGCACACTCAATTGATACTGGCGAGCAGAGTAAAACCAAACGCCAGCGATAAAAATGATTGTTCATCTCCCCTATGCTTCGCTCCGCCTTCTTGTCTCATTATCTGCAGGCCTTTCATTTGAGCCTATAAGACGAAGGAGTCATGGAGACCTCAATTATGGTATCATGGCTTGTTGATCTCATTCTCTCCTTTCTGAAATAGTCCATCTTGCACCTCTAGGCCCTGCAAATTGTAGGGCCGACTTCCCAGCCATTATAGCCAACACTGTAATTTATTAAATTTTGTCGAACCACATTTCATGAAATACGGTAGATACAATAATATGGTAGCGACTGACATACCCGTCTACAAAGTTCTTGATCTAGCAGATCAGAAAGCCTAAGGGAATTCAAGTTTATGTGTACATCACTTTCTTAGGAGAAATCAGTGCATAAACCTAGAAATATTGCCTTGCATCATGAAAGTTGCCAAACTGGGCTACAAAAAATGCCTGCGTATATGGTGGCGAGCCAGAAACAAATCATCAACAACCCTTCATACTCTCGTCATAAGGGGCTAGACAGAACGAGACATCAGAAGAGAAGTTATGACAAGAGCTAATAAAAAACTGCCATGCACAAAAAAAGTCAGTTGCGATTAATTTGACGTTGAGGACCAAAGGAAAAAGGGGGATTCCTAGAGGAAACTCAGGCAAGTGAGAAAGTGGTATCAGTTATATCAGATTGGGCCACCAAAATGAATTCAAGCTTACTATATGTACTTAGCTGCGCCGACTGATGCCAATACGTTCCTCCCGAGAGCGGACAATTCTTGCTTTGTCTCCAGGTAATGGTTTCAATTCATCGTTCGGGTCGGTGGCAGTATGATTGGAGGTGCTTTTGACCGATTCATGGGTGTGGGATTGAGTTTCTTCTCTGCGCTTGCGAAGTCGCATGTCTTCAATATTTGCGACATCTTCCGAAGTGATTGCGATAGCTGTAGGCTTGCGACGTAGCATTTTGTAATAATCACTCAAGCAACTCTGGGCAAGAAGGATTACTCGGATTGTAGGATTGTAAAACAGTAGTGTGCTTAAAATCACGTGATTGGCACGTGAGTTTCAAGTCCCCAGAGCTACCCGTGGGTAATCAAGGACAATCAATACTCAAGAAATTTCTCATCAACATTCCCGCCAAACACAGTGAGGAAAATGATCCAAACGAAGTCGAGGTTTCTGGCGAGCTGCCTTGACCGTAGGACGCCAGTTGATGGAATCGTTGTCTCTCTTCGGTACTTTACGCTTTCCCATCAGCAGGCAAGCAATCACCCAAGCCAACAAAGTACGTGAAGAATATAGTGTTGTGCACTATTTCCCAGTACGGTATTGTTGATTTCCCTTTGCTGACATTTGTGTATCATTGATTGTACAGATCCTCGCAATGCACCAACTCAATCTACTCCACACGTTCCTTCATCCTCTTCCGCTGCCTCTAGGAGAGTCAGTAATTCAAATATGAATGTCACTTCTCGTCGGAATTCACCTCAGCGCGTGGTTGACGCAAGATCGCTCGCTGTTCCGAAAGCCGGCAGTCTACCGTCCAATATCATTCGGAGTCCTCGTTTTCAGAGATCTAGGACTGGAGCGCAAGCTCGCGGTCGTAGATCCGGGACTACTCATCGCACTCAGACTGCCGTACCCAAGGGGCGGAAGCAGGCTAACGGGAGGGCACAGCGAAAGCGCACAGACGTTGAGGAGGTGGACGAAACCTCGCAGGCTGAGATTGAAGAAGCATACGTCAAACTGTCCAAGGCATCTGTGCCTGTTCCTAGTCGCTATACACCTCAATCTCCTGAGTCTAATTTGACGGAGACTTGGCCATCCTTACCGACGGGCGTTACCGCCAGGACTGCAGGTGTTGTTGAAAAGCTTTCTTGGCTGAGCGACCGCTTCCCGAATGGCTACGTGCCCCCTCATGAACTGGGCAAGCGACTTTTTGAAGGACGAAGCGTCCAGTTTTTCAATCAGGATGAAAAAAATAATGCTGTGGCGGAGGCGCAAAAGCTTGCAAGAGAACGTGCTGATTCCCTCTCACAGAGAAAAGGAGATCTCATGGAACCTGAAGATGTGAGTTTCAAGCAGATGAGTGCCCTGGACAAGAGAGCCTTGGTCGAAAAACTTGTTCAAGGAAATTACCCAAAACTGGAGACAGTATTGGCCGATAAGCCAACTGTCCTTGCTGGGGTTCTGAAGAACCTCAATAATAACGAGACATACCGGACTGCTGGAAAGAGTTCACAATTCATCACGAAAGTTGAATCACTTCTTGCATTAGGTCGCCCTGCGTCCGTGAAAAAGATCTGAAAGTGTGCAGGTGAAGGGAAGGCTCCAGACTGAACTGATTTCTCTTACTTCCACTCTCGTCAATTCTCAATGTCTACCTTTTTTTTGGCTTTTACATATCTGCTGTATTTTTAGGGGGGCAATCATAGCTAAATACGCGACACTGATGATAGTCCTGTTGCAAACTATTACTCCTTATATTTGGCATATTTCACAAAATGATAAATAGACTACACTCGTTCTAAGGCCTTTTTGGCAGCATCAAACAATTCTTTCACCTCTTTCTGTCCCTTCTCTGTCAGCCGTTCCATTTGTTCCTGAGCTTTGCGAACGTCGTCTGGCCTGGCTATTTTCTTCTTCTGCATATCTTGAAGGCGTTTATGACTAACACTCCTCGATTCGCGAACTGCACCAGCTGCCTTTTCCGTGGCCGCTCTAGCAGCAACCACCGTCTGGTCACGCAATTCTTTCGTGGGTGGCGGAATCAATATATTTAGTTGAAGAGTATTATGAGGGTCGGGTTGTGGTGTGAGGGACAAATCGGAAGAAACAATGGCTGAGGTGATCGGCTTTATATGCTATTGAGTTGAAAGATGAGAACATTATTAGCAACCCTGAGTAAAAGATGTCGCATGTGCAAGCGAGTTGAGAACGATTGTTTCGGATCTCGACAAAGTCTTACCTCTTCCTCAGCAGCCAAGATAGTAACCATCCGTCCTCCCTTGGGAACAACCTGCGCCAGCTCACCCAATCTTGTTGTTTCCTTGCTTCCTTTGCTCAAAGACACCCTCAAATCTTCAAGTGATTCCGTGTTGAAACGTCCACCCATGCGTAATCTGGAAAGCTCATCTTTAAGTCGGGCCACCGCAGCCGCGATCCCATTTTCTAGCGAAGAGAGATCATGGGGATCCTCAGACTCTTTCCCATCTTTCGGAACGCTCGACTCTGTGTTTGCGCCAGTAAGTTTTCGGGACTTATCTTTCTTCTTGCACAGAAAGGCAGAATTAGAGAAGCTTCGAGTTCCTGTGGGATTGAATCGCTTAAAGGGAGTCAGGATCCGCCAATGTTGAGATGTGTCAAGCACAGTCGGGCTGAAATTCGCGGAATAAAAAGATCGAGGAAGATCAGCAACAATTGAGAGTCGTTGTACCCGCTGCATCTTCTAGGATTTGCACAAATGATAAGCTATTGAAAGTATTATTTGTAGCGAAAAAGTTGTCCATCTGCTGAAAGGGCACCTTAGAAAACAAAGACATGAATCATGAATACTAGCGCAAGACCAATCAGACTCATGATAAGAGGCGAGAGTACAAAGGTATGCTACCTTCTTAGCGGAAAGCACTTTTCCCAAGAGATACACCTAACAAACCTTTAAAAAGTGAAGGTGAAGAAAATATTTCACTTCACTGATTAAATAGCAGAAGATTGTATGAAGAGTTTGCATAAAAGGAAGTAATACTCCAGTATATCAACATCGCACACGTCGCAAGACATAGCTTCAAAATCGCCCATGATGTCTACCATATGTCCAAGCCAAAGGCATATTGAATTCGCATAGAAGTACTAGGCTCATCAAATCATTAATTCCTTCCCCAGACGGATTTCATCTAATCTAGAATGAACTTTTAGATAATGTGCACCAAATCATGAGGAACGAGATATGAAAAGGGACAAAAAGGAACCGGAGGAGAAATAGAGCACAATTCGGTACATAGGATCATTGGGAATGGTTGTAACAAGCCCTAGAGACAATTTTTGATCTCTTCAAATCGCAAGGATAGACACATCCGCAAGGGAACGGTAATACCGAGGTAGAGAGAGAAGAGACGAGGAGTGACTGAGTGATAACAGCTCAGGAAAGCTCTTAGCATTCAAATTTACCGGGTGGCCATAGCCTTGGTGATGAGTCTCTTGAGCGCAAGTTCCTTCTTCTTGAAATCCTCGGGAGCAGAATCTTCAATCTCAAGCTGAGCCATAGCGTCACTCAATGCAGACTCGATCTTTTCCTTGTTGCCGCGCTTGAGCTTCAGGGACATGGTAGGGTCTGAGATGATCTCTTCAACGCGAGAAATGTAAGATTCGAGCTGCTGACGAGACTCGAATTTCTTGGTAAAGGCCTCGTCGCTTGACTTGAATTTGGCGGCGTCTATAACAACGTTAGTCCTTCCTTTTCGGTGGGGGTTTTTTTTTCTTTTTTCACAGGGAAACAACGCAGTCAACATACCATCGATCATCTGCTCAATTTCGGTGGTGGAGAGCTTGCCGACGGCATTGGAGATAGTAATGTTGGCGGTACGACCAGAAGACTTCTCCGTAGCGGTGACCTTAAGAATACCATTGACATCGACCTCGAAGACGACTTCAAGAGCGGCCTCGCCAGCCTTCATAGGTGGGATAGGAGCAAGAGTAAACTCGCCCAGGGAAGTGTTGTCTGCACAGTTTGTGCGCTCACCCTGATAAACTGGGAACTGAACGGTCGTCTGGTTGTCTACAACAGTCGTAAAGGTGCGCTTCTTGATAGTGGGAACAGTTTGACCGCGGGGGACAACAGGGGCGAAAATATTGCCTTCCATGGCAACACCAAGGGAAAGGGGAACGACATCCAAAAGGAGCAAGTCCTGAGTTTCAGCCGAGGTGGCCTTACCAGAGAGAATGCCAGCTTGCACAGCGGCACCATAAGCTACAGCCTCATCTGGGTTAATGCTCTACACCAACATTAGTTTGAGGACACGACCGGCAACGTTGAAAGGTTGTTGAAAGGTTAATTTCCCACTGACCTTCTCAAGCTTCTTGCCGTCGAAAAAGTCACTGAGGAGCTTCTGGATCCGAGGAATACGAGTGGAGCCACCGACGAGAACGATCTCATCAACCTGGCTCTTCTCAAGGCCAGAGTCCTTGAGAACTTGTTGCACTGGCTCAAGGGTGCCAGAGAAAGACTTAGCGTTGAGATCCTCAAAGCGGGCACGAGTGATAGACGAGTTGAAATCCTCTCCATCGAACAAAGAGTCAATTTCAACGGTTGTCTGTGTAGCGTTGGACAGTGTACGCTTGGCACGCTCGCAGGCCGTTCTCAAACGGCGAAGAGCCCTAGCATCGCCTGAGAGATCCTTTCCAGTCTTCTTCTGGAATTCCTTCTTGAAATGTTCAAGGAGGTTAGTGTCAAAATCTTGTCCACCGAGATGAGTATCACCGGCCGTAGCCTTAACAGTGAAAACACCTCCTTGGATGTTGAGAAGAGACACATCGAAAGTACCTCCACCAAGATCATAGATCAGGACATTGCGTTCCTTTTCAGACTTCCCGGAGCCGAGTCCATATGCGATAGCAGCAGCGGTAGGCTCGTTGATGATGCGGAGAACATTCAAACCGGCAATGGCACCAGCATCCTTCGTCGCCTGACGTTGATTATCGTTGAAGTAAGCTGGCACGGTGATGACAGCCTTCTCAACCTTTTTTCCAAGCTTGGTCTCTGCGACTTCTTTCATCTGTCAAATCGAAACAGGTCAACAATGTGCCCGAAATAGAATATACCAGGGAGGCTGGCGAATATACCTTCATCAAGACCATAGAAGAGATTTCCTGAGGAGAAAAGGTCTTAGTTTCACCAAGATATTCAACCTCGACAACGGGGTTTCCGCCCTGGTCAACGACCTTGAAAGGCCACGACTCGATATCCTTCTTCACAATGGGATCTTCATAACGCCGACCAATGAGACGCCTAGGTTTGTAAATAAGAGAAACTGAAATGGGAGCGGTAGATAATGCAAGAGATACTTGCTTGGTCCTCACTCACTTGATGTCGAAGATGGTGTTCTTCGGATTCATTGCCGCCTGGTTCTTAGCAGCCTCACCAATCAAGCGCTCTTTCTCGGTGAAAGAAACGAATGAGGGGGTTGTGTAACTACCCTGCTCGTTGGCAACTGTAGAATGAGTCGTAAGTCAGGGCCCAATCCTGCCGAGTCTGGTGCCTTCGAAAAACATACTGATCTCGACGTTGGTGCCTTCATAGTTGGCGACGCAGGAGTAGGTTGTGCCTGGATGGATGTGTTAGCAATACTCAACTTTTTCATGAAGAACGTATTATGGTATAAGGTGATTTTGGAAACAATTTCAGATTCCTTACCAAGGTCAATGCCGATGGCGCCTTCGTAGACTTCGTCCGACATATTGATTTCAATTCACACTGACTATCAACAAAGAGAAATTGAAGAAAAAGGCAGAATAAGAAGTGAGAACACCTGAAAAAGAGGTGGAAAGAGTTGGGGGAAGGAAGAGGATAAGAAAATTGAACGAGGGTCAGTGTGGGAGCGGTTGATCTTTAAGTCCGAACCCACTTCGCCTTTTTTTTCACGTTTTTTCCAAAAATTTTTTTTCGCCTTCCGTTTTTCTTTCCCCAACTAAGGTAGCCCCATGGTTAGAGAAGAAGATTCCAATGTCAACGGCCATGGTTATGGTAATCTCAATCCATTACCAAGACTATAAAATTTCTAAGTAATTTGTCTAGTAGTATAAATGGCACTCATGGAGATCTGAGCTCTGTTCTAATACGTACTCTGTAGCATAGATTGAAATGTCTACTTAATAGATTCATCTGGTCCTGAATAAGATCTAGTTCACTTCTTCGATGCCCCCCCTTCAGCTTGTGATCACGTTCACATTATTACTACCTAAACTCTCTTACCTACTACCGAAACCTCTTGCTTGAAGCTTGAAGTATGGAGCTGTGTGCAAGTGTAATGCAAAGTCATTCTTATATTTTTCCAATCATGCTTATTACCTATGGTTAGGGTAGGTAGTGGTACCTTAGACTCGAATACAGGTGTAATACAGACAGAGTACATGAGGGTACCTAAGTAGATAGAGAAAGAAAAGTGACCTGTAGTATATGGACGTCTTTGCCAAAGAGGAAGAAACATAATTTGATAGGAATCGAGTCAACTTGGGAATCATGTTATCCTTGATGGTAATACGCTGCTCACAAAAATCATATTATACTTATAAATACTTGGCAGGGTTAGCTACCTACATGAGTATACAAGTCACTACTTTTGTCCTATACATTGTACTTTCAGCAGTTAGGTAGTACTCGTAGGGCGGTTAAATAATAATATTAATACATAACACCATTAAATATCTAGTACTCCTAGCCAAGGCATGATATGATCTAAGTCCTACACTGAGAATAGACTTGATAAGAATAATGAAAGCTGATGATAGAAAGGATATCTGCTTTCTTTTTTTTCTTTTCTTTTCTTTTTTTTTTTTCAAGGAACTTAAGAGATAAATTCTTCAGAGTCACATGGTTCTTCCAAGATGTTAGTTATATCTACTCCGTACTATCTGGGCCTCCATAGCTACTAAGTACAAATTATTGCAGCCTTAGATGTGTATTACTCAAAGTAAGATACAGAGAATCCTGTCAGAGGAGGTAAATAATCTGTAGTTCTGTAGTCCTTCTAATTCATGTCCCACACTTCAATTCCACTGGCAATAAATGCTTATTATTATTACATATGAGAAGGGTACCTCTCAGTACGGAGTACCTAAGGTACCTAGACTCCTAGAGTTGCAAAGTGGTCCCACACCAAGCAACCAAAGTTATTATTGTCCTCCATTATCTTAACTGGAATTTTCTTTGACTTGGTCAGTAATAATATATTAACTATAAACCCATTTGCCAGATCCATACCACCTGTGGTTCTGAAATCTGGATAGCAGCCTTTGACCACAGTCACTGCTGGAAACTAAGAGTCAACTCTCGCTGCAATTATTACCAACGCACTATCTCCTATCAAGCTCGCTCGAATCAAGGTTTAGAAGTTCAAATTTGTACGTATCCCCGGCGCACCTCATTAGAAGTCTCAGTGACTGCATGGCATATTGCCTTTTCTGGAAACAAGGACAGATCCCGAGTAGGATGCTAAATGACGGTCAGATCAATATTCTGAAATCCTAATCGAAACGATCCAAACCCCGCACTTCTCCAGATGGACATCGATTTAAGCAGGAGGAACAAAAAGCCCCGCCTTCTGTTGGAATCCGAAAGAGAGAGGCTCGAGGAATTCATTGACTCCATACACTACTCAGCGAGGTACGAACATCTGATCAACGTACACAAGGGCCGAATTGACAGGCACAGGTATTCTGACGATCAGTTTGAGTACCGACATGTTCAGCTCCCCAAAAATATGCTGAAGAAGATTCCTGCCGACTATTTCGATAGCTCGAAAGGAACGCTGAAATTGCTATGGGAGGAAGAATGGAGGGCACTTGGTATCACTCAGGTACGACGAAGTCCACTGCGAAACCCGCGTCCTGCTGCCCTACAGCTAATCTTGGTTGTCTAGAGTCTGGGATGGGAACATTACGAGGTTCATGAGCCAGAGCCACATATTCTTCTTTTCAAGTAAGCACTTGACGATGCATGAGGTCTTATACGATGAACTGATGGCTTCCTAGGCGTCCCCTGAATTATCAACCTCCGGTTTCCCAGTGACTATGGTAATTGATAGATGTCTATTGCGAACCCAATTGATTTCACTTTAAGCGCTGACGGCGCACGGTCCGATTCAAGATATGGGTATTACAACAAGGCAGATTATTCCAGGCAGGGCAACAATGATTCTACAACATTCGAGTCATGGAAACGAGGAACCACTTTGGCTGGTACACAACGAGTGAGGTTATTGATACCAACGTACGCTGAAACCTTTTACTTTTCTTTATTCATTCTACTTGTCCCTCTCCGTCCCGGTGCGATGCCCTTATGAATGTTTCCCGTGACATGCGGCTTGACTTCGTGTGATTGCAAGGAATTTCACCTACGTTTCTGGTCAATCACTGCTTTCTCTGGGTAGTCGCGAACTTGCTGCTGATTCCGGGCTTGCCAATCACCTAGATGATGATGTCAGACCCGTTCGAGCTTATTGAATATAACTGGAGTTTCTTACCTTTACATCTACGGTTGGAGAAATGGATATCAATCGCACGATCAATCTATATGTTGCCGCATTAGACTTTTGGAGATGGCTTTGGCATACTGAATAACCCTTTCCCCCATGATCAACTTCGCATACTAACAGCGACCTATTGCCGACTTTCGATTGCCCAAAATTACTGACTTGCTTCTTGACGGTCACCCACGGGACACTTTCTGCTCATTTAAGTGAAGAATGATTTGTATTCTTTATATCCTCTTACAGGTGCTCTCGTGTGCCCTACATGTATTCGATTACGTATAATTTAGATTGCGGTAATTAAAATCCCGCGTGTGTCAAACGCGATCTTCCAACCTGTGGCGGCTGTTTCATAGGTTTTTAGAAACGAAGCTGGATATATCCGTAGCAGAAAAACTTGGAATGGCCGAGTACTCCTGAAGATTACTCCTCGTCCACGAAGGAAGGACAAGTGCGAATAGTTAGCCGTTCATTGTGTACAGATAGATGTATGCTAACTGACAGCCTGAGAATAGGAAAGATCTAGTGGAAACTTGCTGCTGGAATATCTATACGCTAGCATTATCAAGGCCCTTCCAGGAGTTGCGGAACCGGCTCCTTGCACTACTCCGTATCTAATAGCTGTGCTCTCGAGGTCTCTCGGCTTTTTTTGTCTGTGATTCAGCTGACCCAGTCTACAGGTTACAGGTCAGTTCTCTTCTGAAAGCTTGACTTTGGCATTTACAAAGAAGGAAATGCCAGCGCAGCGCGCGGCAAGGCCATCTTATGATACTTATGATCAAACTGTATGCCTGATACCAATCCTGGAAGGCCCTTCTCGTCCTATATTCTGCTTCCCTCCGGCCCCAAGAATGAGGACTCTTTATCATCAGTAAGGCTAGGTATAGACCATAAACACATTGGAAATAAATCCCAGACTCCTTTTCTGTACGGCTGAAGATGACTGGCCGACGCGACCACTCTTGGTCCATGCCTAACAACTCAAGTAATTTTATGAGCGTCTTGGTCCAAAGTGAGCATAGCAGTAGGTGATGAGCACTTAGCACGAATAGTTGTCAAGCACTGTTCATCGGCTCCCAAGAGCTCTCTGCTTGAAGATGTTTAAGTCTTTGAGTTGCATTGACACATTCGTCCAGCGCGAGGTCGACGGATCGTACTCGCCCCGAATCTCGACCCTACAGAATCCTTTGGGGCCTTTGAGACCAACTGGACCGACGATAAAGAAGGTGCCGCGGCGAGGAGTGCGCAACTCGCGAGTCCAGCAATCATTCAACCGCCACTTAAAAGCTACTGCAGCCGCACGCAAATCCGATTCGGGACCGAAATTCGGCAAATGTAACCATTGAAGTGAGGATAGTATTGACGAGGGATTCAGCCATGGATGGTTTTTCTGTGTTACTCTCCCATGGGGCTTATCCGCAAGAGATATTTGAGACCCTGTTTTGTGACAACCAGCGGAACCGTCCAAATTGAGCCCTGTAAGCCCCGTCCCGGATGGCGGCATGACCAATGAATCAGTACCGAATTGTATTCGATCAGATACCTGGAACCCCATGCGCGAGAGTTGCCTTTTTATTAAGACAAGATAGGCGTCTCTTGCAGCAAGTGCCACAAAGAGAGGTTTCATGCATTTTAGGATACGATCGCCGGTATCTGAGGACACTGGTCTCATGGCCCACGAGATTTCAGTATCAGCTATTTCCAACCTGGCAATAATGAGCAATTTGAGATATGGCATGATGCTGTCTTTGATATGACGTACCCCGACAAGGCATATTCAGGTGGGCCACGAGACGGAAAGTGGTGAACAAGCCAGAAATCAGTTACGGTCAGCGGCCCACCAAGAAGTTGAATAAGTATGTTTGATGCGGATGCATGGCGCAAAGCCATGGTTGCCAAGTCCTCTGGGCAAGTAAGCATTGCTTCATAAGGGTAATTATTCGAGAATGGAGATACCTTTCAGCGATTGGAGCTTCCTGCCATCCCGAGAGATACGAACAAACTCTCTCCACTCCGGGTCCGACGATGAATAGAACTTGCCTTCACGCAGTTGCGGCCAACCCAAGGGAATAAAAAAGGGTTTTGAGACCGCAGCCTCATCCAGACGGCGCACAGTTCGTTGAGAAGCCATAGGCTCCTTTTCTAGAAAGTCTTTCTCGGGAAGAGCCTCATCCGGTGCGCTTTCAAGCATCTTATCATATTCCCCGAGGACAAAAGAACTCCATATATGAAATGCAGTCCCATATAGCAGACATGTAGTGACAAACTTTCTGGTGGCTCATGTCAATTTGAGCAAATAACAAGTTGTATGCCGTGCAAGGCTGCGCAAAGGGGTGGCGGACTACACACTTAAGCCAAGGTCGTTTAAATCTCACATGGCGAACATTTACGTTGTTGGCATCGCTTTGGAAAGGAGAATGGCTGGCACGAAAGGGTGTCTGAAACTGACAGAGTCGTGGTCTCATTCGGTACATCTGGTATGACTTTGTGGTGGTCTCTCTAAGCTGAAGATCATAATCTAAGGACGGGGATGGCTACTGGTTGTGGTCTTCAATTTTGACAGAAAGGTCATGAAGCTCGCCCAAGAAATGTTCTTGAAAAAGAAAAAGAGAGGGAGGGAGGGTTTTGGGGGGGAGGCGGTG